ATAGAGATTATCTGTCGTGATTGTCAACTTTTCTCAGAGAATCACCTTATTTGAACTTATCAGCATACACAAAAAATAGTAGGCCTGCCATTAAGGTCCGTTTCTCATTTCTCTCTAGGTAAGCTATGATCTATACTAACCCATCTCCTTACTATGCTGATATCGTGTAGCCTTTTTGTAAACATACACTAACCTCCTTTTTATAAAGAAGATTGATTTTTTTACAGCCTATCAACCCTTTGCCTGTTATTTAAAGCTATATTTTTTTTAAAATTATAAGAATTTTTTTAGATAATAATGACCTACTAATGCAAGTCCTACTAATTATCTCAGATTACAAGACGATGGTATTCCCACGCGCAAACACCATCTAGAAGGTGACCAAATATAACGAAACTGTTGCTTAACCTCGGCTCTCTGATTTCCAATTCCGCTGCCATGTTATTTTTTATAACCCGGTTATTTTTTTGTTGATGGACAGGTAACATTTTTTAAATTTCTTTTTTTTTTTTCTATTATGTTTTAATCCGTTCTTACAATAAAAGGTATTCCCAATAGCCACCCGTCTAGGTAGAGGGCTTACTATCTGAAGTTCAACGATCGAAAGAAAAACCGGAATTTCGATGATTAAAGGAACAAACATAACGGTTAAACATAGGCTTGAAAATAATCAATTATATAAGTGAACAGGGAAAAATAATCCTACCGGAAGCCCGTTCCTCAAAAAAAAACAGTTCTCGGGAAAAAAGGGAAAAAAAATGAAGAAGCATGTAAAGTAGGGAAGGGAAAAAGAATGAAACAGACGATATATGAAGAAGAATGAAAGGAAATAAAAATGAAATAATCATATAAAAAAAAGGGAGGAAACAAGAATGAAAGAAAGCGGACAATATAAAGAAGAAAGCAACAAAATAAAAAAACACCATATAAAGAATAAAACGGAAAGAAACATATAATATAAGGAAACCGAAATGAAATGCAGAAGCATACTAAATTAAGTATGAATGAAAGAAAGAAAATGGCGGATAAAAAAAACGCAAATTGTGTCATGTTAATTTTAGAATCTTATTTGCATCGACGTGGCCATCCAATGAATAAATTATCTTGCAGGGTGTTTGCATTGAATATACGGCGATTAATTTACAAAACCGACGATTTGAACAAATATAGATCTCAAAGGCTGACTTTTATTAACGGTACAAACGAATATATCAATCGATATATGGATGTTCCACTTTAAGTCTGATCGGCTGTATTTTAGGTTCAGCTATTTTTTTTTGCAAGAGTAAATAACTGTGTTCCAATCTGTACTGGTGCAACCTATTATTATCTAACCAACCGTTTTTCCAGAATGTTTAGATATGGATCGGATATATATGTTCCACGATTATATTTGATCTTTCACTGTAGAGTGTCTACCTTAGCAGTTCTTCTATCAATATATACTGGTATACAATGAACCAAATCTTTTCCAGAATGATTTAACTCAATGGATCGGATATATGTGTTCCACACTGGGTTTGATCTGGCTTTTGTACATCTAAGCTACGCTTAGCAAGTTCATTTTGGATACCTCGAGGTGGTGTAATTTTTAGAATGTTTAGTGGATCTCCTATATGAATCCATTTAGGTTTGATCTGGCTTTTCGATCCTCACTTAGCAGCGGGATCCTTTCGGCCTGGTGCACATACAATGAACCAACCGAATTTTCCAGAATGTTTTAGCGATGGATCGGGTATAATGTTTCCACTTGAGGTTTGATCTGGCTTTAACAATTACGACTGATAGCAGTACGGTTCAGATTCTCACTTGGTTCCTCTCCTAATTTCGAACCAACCATTTTTCTAGCATGTTTAGCGAAAATCGGATATAGAGATCTTCAGTCCAAACAATGGTTCAAGGCAAGTCTCTTTCAGACTTAATTATAAAAAGCGGGTTGTGAGTTCGATCCTCAAAAATATATAAATGAACGAAGAAGAATGTCTCATGACTAAAATCTACTTTAAAAATCACTATATCGATGAAGTTTTAGTTGCTATTGGTTCTAGCTTAGCTATTTCTTATCATCACAAGGAATTAGATTCTATTTATCTCACTTCGTTTACGTTCTCCAAACAGTTTTAATGTTTTCTCAGACTACGTTTTTCTTTTATTGATCTGTATGTACCGTATCCCTTCTGGACGTTGGCTATTATATCTCTCCACAATTTCTTGTCCTTTATAGCATGATAATCTATTTTGTCTTTTTTATCTTTAAACCCTGTTCTGCCACAGATAATCTAGTTCCGTCTGTTCATATTAACTATTCATAAAGTTTCAGTATATTATTTTATTTCTGGTATATTTCATTCAAGTTATATCAATCAGCCTGTTTGATTATCTATTTCCTTATTTATATTTAAAAATAATTAAAAATATTTATTAAGGAATGTCGAACAATAAATCTGAGGAATCAAGGATTTAGATAACGATTGACATTGTATTTAAATTTTCAAGATCCATTTTTCTATGGATAGCAAAAATCTTCAAAGTTTTCAATAAGCGAGAAAATAAACCTCTCATTCGTTTTACTATCTATTAATCCAGTTTTGTTTTTCTTATTCATAATTAGACATTAGTCGCCAATCTATATCTCGATCTAAATAAATTTGGTGTTTACGTAACATAGAGAAGCAGTTCTTCGGAAGAAGCCGATGTCCGAAAGGAACCTCAGGCCTCCCTATTCAAATATGAATGGAATGAGCATTATTCCCTCTGGTGTACGTAAAAAAAAAAAAAAACAAATAGAAAGGCCAGTTTAAATTTAGGGTTTAGATTCGTTTTGAGAAAGGGGTTTTTTTTTGGTGGATTCATTGTTTTTTTTGTTTTGTTTTTTGGGGTTTTTTTATCAAGACAGGCAAGTCTAACTTCCACCGTGATATTTGCTTATCTGTGTGTTTTTCGGACGATCTGTTTTCAAAAAATACAAGTATTTAACGTGTTTGAAATTACTGGAGCGGTAAACCAACCATTTATCCAGCATTTTTTGATATGGATCGGATATATGTGTTCTTCATTTTATGTCTCCATCTGCACATTGAGTTCAAATATCTATTCAATCTCAGTCTGTCATCTTGATCTAATAGTAGGAAAAGATTTTATCTATCTTCTCCTTTCTATCCACCTTCCATGTATTTATCTATTCAAAGTTTATTTTTGTAGTCCATCTAAATTTCTATCCGTCCATCCATCTCAAACTCGTTAGCTCTCCAAAAATTCCTAACCATCAAACCACTATCACCAACAATTTATCAACCAACTTTAAAAACAAAATTCAATAAATATTTATCAATCCATCAATTTCAGATAAACTGTTAAAAATCTTTTCAAATCCATCCATCATCATTCTATTTATCAATAAAATCCTCATTCAATTTATATTCATCCATCATCCATACATTTTATCAATTAATGAATGAAAAAAATCCCTTCATCGATCTTTCTATCCGACCATCCATACCATCCGAAAATCCATCTTTTATCTATATCCATCTTTTGTCCATCCATCCATCAATTTATCTGTCTTTCTAAATAAATTCAATATATCTATCTTTCCAAAAACTATCAACACATTCAAAATCCGATTTATACCTATCCATCCGTACAAAATCTTCACTAAGGTATTTCCATAATTTATGTCCATCCATCTATCAATTTATCTGTCTTTCTAATAATTCATTCCTCCATCTATCTATCTCCACCCTCTCTCTCATCTCTATTCATTCATCCGATATTCTACCTATCCATCCGTCCATCCATCTTTAGGTACTATATCCATCTTTTGTCCATCCATCTATCAATTTATTGTCTATCTTTCTTCATCCTCCATCTATCTATCTCCACCCTCTCTCCATCTCTATTCATTCATCCGACTTTCTACCTATCCATCCGTCCATCCATCTTTCTAACTATATCCATCTTTTTGTCCATCCATCTATCAATTTATCTGTCTTTCTATCCATTCATTCCTCCATCTATCTATGGTTTGATGTTCTCTCTATTCATTCATCCAAGGCATTTGACCTCGGATCCGTCCATCCATCTTTCTAACTATATCCATCTTTTTGTCCATCCATCTATCAATTTATCTGTCTTTCTATCCATTCATTCCTCCATCTATCTATCTCCACCCTCTCTCCATCTCTATTCATTCATCCGACTTTCTACCTATCCATCCGTCCATCCATCTTTCTAACTATATCCATCTTTTTGTCCATCCATCTATCAATTTATCTGTCTTTCTATCCATTCATTCCTCCATCTATCTATCTGGAAATGTGCGCCAAGGTGCATTCATTCATCCGAAAAGACACATCCAACGACCATCCATTTTTGTTAACTATATCCATCTTTTTGTCCATCCATCTATCAATTTATCTGTCTTTCTATCCATCTTTCTATGTGTTTTCTCTCATTCATATTTACCTTATCTATATTAATCCTTTTATAACTATCTTGGTTTTTAGTTTAGTCTATTCCAGTCTTCCTGAATCTGTTCCTATTTTAATTTTTTTTCTTTTATCTTCCTTAGTCTTCCCTAATCAAATTTATCTATTTCTCCCATTCCTTAGTAATTGGCTTTCATATTGATCTATTCTGGTTGACCACTTTCTCTCTCTCTCTCAAACTGTTTTTTTTTCTTTTCTCCGTCAAATGTTGTTTTGTGTCAGTATTATTCTCATCTGTAAGATTAATTTAAGATGCATTTTTTTTCAATTTATTTTCACCTTATTTACACCAGGTCTCTGTATAAAGCCTTATATAAAACTCACAGTGTGGATGATCAAAATCATTAAATCAGCGCATCTATCTACGATGAGAGGTTACTAGCTATCGTTGGGTGATATGCATGTTATTTCTCTGTTATTCTCTACGTCGTAATTCGACATAGAGTTGAATCTTCAATATTAATATATCCTTTCATTTTATGTATTCTTTTTATAGATACAAATATTTAAGTAAATGCCTCTGTTTATTTGAACTCCATATATATATTTATATATATATATAAATATTGTCATAGAAAATATGCGTCCTCCGACAGGAATCGAACCTGTATCCTATACGGAACCGTCATATAGACGTGCTTTTTACCGATTGAGCCACAGAGGAGCGTTTCGGTTAGCAAGGTCGATTTTACTGTTTTTAAACTACAATTCTCTATGATTTTCTCTCATTCATTCATATCTGCTCGATGCGTATCCAAATGTAAACAAATGACATCACACATTATGAAATGGACAAAGTCCGACAATTAAGACATTTTTATGCTTATACGTTCTTTTTATAGATATAAATATTTAAGTAAATGGTCTGTTTTCTCGGACTTGTACATTTCATTATATTGTATATTATATTATATATATATATATATTATATAATATATATATTAATAATTAGGTTTTGTATAATCTTCAGTGCAGACAAATTCAAAAAAGCACTGGACGGCCGTTTCGCGCTTTTCGGGACTCATAATCAATGCGCATCCTCTACCGGTTCTGGACATGATGAAATGAATATATATATATATATATATATATATATATATACATGAACCTCCACTGCTTGAAGAAACCTTACTGGTACAAACCATGGTTTATTCATGAGTGGTTAGTATTTCTTGAGATATATATATATATATATATATATATATATATATATATATATATATATATATACACACACACACTCATTCAGACACACGTGCACAAACTCTTCTATGTGCTGTCTATTCAGAGCGTTGGCAATCATTGCTCTCCCCAATATTCTATTCTTTCTCGCTCCTAATATAAGTTGGCTTGGCTTTTTATTCTCTCCTAAAGTTTGTTCCGACATCCATTGATTCAAGTTCGCTAGGTAGGTTATGGGTTGTTTTCCTCGATCTCTCTCACCTCAAATCTGTCCTTTGAGTATCAGATTTTCCAAGCCGTCTTTCCTCATTACGTACCCTAGAAATTTCAACAGCCTCTTTCTGATGTTAAGTATCCGTGTCCTTTTTGCTTCCTTTTTCTTCAAAAACTTCGTTGTTCCTCGGATGTTCATCCACAGTATTCTCAGCATCCTTCTGTAGAACAACATTTCTGTTGCATCAAGTCTCGTCTTCATCTGTGAGGTGATTGTCCAGCGGTCCACTTGCCAATTGCCGTTTTGTCTCTATGCTTCTCTCACTCTGAATGAACCATTTATCACGTGCTGTCCTTCATGTAATATTCATCGTATGTCAAGACGATATTAACCTTGACTGATGCGTAATCCCCGAGAAAGTATATTCGCTTTTTTTTGCGCACGCGCCCTCGAATGTTCCCTTACCAAACCACACTTCTTCTGTCACTTCCAAGTTTTAACACCTTAGTAATCTTATCAACAAGCTGTTATAAATAACAATTTACATGTTATAAATATCTACTGCCTATGACATTGGCTCAAACATGTGAAACAAATGTTAACAATGCGAGGCACGGCTAACGTCTGTCATGGCTTTTCTCAACGCTTTGCTTGTAGAATTCTTTTCCGTCTCTCAAGGGGAGACTTGAGTACAAGACTGATAACCCCCAAGAAGCTGAAGATATTATCACAAGTGTTTAGCATGAGGTTGATACAAAATTTCCCAGCGGACAATGTTAGTGGAATCTAAGAATTATCTTCGAAGTTTAATTAGATCGTAATTATTTTTATATTTATTGTTGTGGTGTCCTCCCTCTAAGAGTCTATGTTAGACTCTTCCGCCTACCATAAGGTTAGTAGGACATAAGGCATCGGGGAACACTGAACGGTGAATAGATTGAGCGCTTGTTTATTCGATACACACTCACTAGTCGTGTAATATTCTTTTGGTGTATTTACTGTTTAATATACGATATATCTGCAAACCTGGTTTTTGTTATTATTTAACCATTTACTTAGTCACAACACTGTTCACCCAATGCCAAGGCCCAGGAGCCACTCAAAGCAGAGGATTAATGAACGAGGTTGTTGTGTGAACGTAAGAGGAGGAAGTAAAAAGTGGATATGATATCGGTTAATTCTAACCTTACAGAGATTAATATTGCAGTGATCGGGAAAGCTTTCTCTTGGGAGTCTACGCCACAAAGCAGCGGTTCTTGGGAAGAAAACAAAGGGATGATTTCTTTTCAGTGTGTATGGCATAGCGGGTGTTGGTTGTGAAGTTCAGGGCTGGTAGAATTAAGGAATGTAACTCAACAGAACATTTGGTAATAGCGGAAGAGTAGCAGAGGCTTGCGATGTGGTTATAGATTGGAAAATAATTCATCACCCACAGGGCCGAAAAGTGGACAGCTTCAGCCCAGATATGGCAGCAGGTCTCTATTTTGGTCTAATCTGGGTATTGTAAAAACAGCAAAGCAGGCTGAGTCAGGTACTTACTGGTATTGTATGAGGAAACAATTATTTTTACAGCAGCTTTAGCGATGGATCGTATATATGAGTTTCATTTGTGGTTTTTTGGGGGGGGGGAACTTGAGTCTAAATAGGGATTTAAGGAAAGGAGAGCCTCGTTTAGAAAATAACCATTCAGCAGGATACGTTAAATTCCAGGCTCTCCTCGCTGATAAGGGAAATGTTATTAGTTTTGTTTTAGAGTAATTGAATGTTCCAAGCCAGTTCTATCCACCATTGAGCGCTCATATCTAAGTCCGAGGAGAAATCAAATGCCAGCCTTTAATCATCCTGGTTTTGGGATAGATATTTACTAGAGATCTGAGTATATTCTTACGTAAATCGTTAATATCGTGCAGAAATAAGACAGGGCCGAGAAGAAAAATGCCTATGTACATACTGTTTAAGAAATTGAATATGAAATCCTCATTTTACACTTAGACAGCTTTTCAAAGATGTGCGATTTGTGTAAAGGTTAACTGCGCAGAAATTAGTCGATGTGCCAAGTTCTATTTCCAGCTGAGTGTTTTTCTCACTTCGCACTATTGCCCTGGGGAAAAGGCATGAATCGATCTTCCTTCGGTTATGGATTAAATGACAGGGTATGTATACTACAGCTATCTTGCCTTGGTTGGCAGCCAGTTTATAAGAAGGGATACTAAGAATTTAAACCCTTGTAAATAATAGAACAGATTGAGCTCTTTAGCCTTGATAGGGAAAGTCGACACGAAGACGAAACATTCTGAATTCAGGCACTTATAAATAACAGGACGGACTGAAGTCTTAAGATTTATTTGAGCTGTCAGGCTAAGAGAATGAAAACTCTGAATTCAAAACTCTGTAAATAATAGGACTGGCTGGAGTCTTAAGCCTCAGTCGGGTAGACAGTTTAGGAAAAGCAAAACAGGAATAAAAACCTTTGCAAATATTACGGTATATCAAGCATTTAAGCCTTTTTATGTCACGCATACTCGCCGATAGTATCTAGACCAGTAGTCGCCAACCGGTTCATAAGCATTCATACACAAAACTGGTAGATTTGAATAAACTTCAGATTTTCAGTTTGTTTTATTTAAATAATTACATTATAACTTTGTTACCTTTTAATTAGTACATTCCATATGAATAAAATAAAAGTGTTCAGATTATTAGTATATAAATGTATTTAAACTTTTTTTTTTCGAAATTCATATTGGTGGTCCTCCAAATTTAAAATTATACATTTAGTAGTCTATGAAGTTCGAAAGGTTGGCGAGCATTACTCTAGACATTATTTCTAATCTGGCTATAGAATAAACGTCTGAGTCGTCGTGGTGAAAAGCTACAGAAATTATTATGAAGGAAAGACAAGTCAAACCTTCATAATAATTGACAATGTTTTGTCTCATAAAAATTGAAAATTTTACAACTTGTTTACTGGAAGGCGGCGATTGACACAATGAAAAATAAATAAAATTAAGCTGTAGGAATGTCCAGTCAAAATTACCATCTGAGAATACGTCAGTTAATCAGCTGAAGCATTTCAAATATTATTATATGCTATTTATGTAACAAATGCAATAAAACAACAGAAATTAAAATAAAAAGTCACGTATTAATAAATATTAGCAATGTTTCATTTATTTAAAAATCAAGTGTACTACTAATATTGTACAGCGGGCCACACGTATTCGTGGATACCCGTCTACTCGGGCGGGTAGCCAATCCCTATTGCAGACGCTTGCTCAGGCGCATTTGTGTTTATTCAACACCCGCAGAGCCTACCTGTGGTTTATGCTTATGAGACCTTAGTTACAGTTAAGAGAAAGAGTGTTATCTAGTTCAAGTTCCTGGCCACGATGACTTGTGACTTCGATCCTCAATTTCACTTTTCAAAGGTGCCGCAATGCTGGGATCGAATCCAAAGCCCGATAACATCAGGAAATCTCCTTTCTGACAAATCGACCATGGTGAAATTCGAACCCGGGCCTCATGGTCAGTTTTAACCACTCGACCAAGTTCCCATATACTACTAATTTTACTAATGTAATAAAAAGCAGTACAAATTATGCAAAAACACTAATTTAAAAAGAATGGTATTTAAAAAAAATTTATCCATGAAATAATGATTTTATATAATATTTCTACAACATCGAATGATAAAATTCTTGGAAAAAAACTTGACAATTTTGGTGCAGTGTGTTAAGTAATTTTACTCTGTTGTAAACTCTATTTGTGTAATGCAGTTTTGTATGGAAGAAGAAAAAGTATTTCCGCTCTGTACTTCATAATTCTTGTAAATTTCCCAAT